GGTCATAGTTGCACAACCTTCTAGTTGCTGTATGTGGGACGTGGCCTCAGCATGGCCGGAGAAGCGGTGCGTTGGTGCGCATCTGGGATCTGAACCCGGGCCGCCAGTAGCGGAGCGCGTGCACCCAACTGCTAAGCCATGGGGCCGGCCCCCACGTTTTAAAAAGATTTAGTTTTGGGCCGCGTCCTACATACAGCAACTAGAAGGTTGTGCAACTATGACCTACAACTATCTACTGGGGCTTTGGGGGAAAAATAAATAAACAAATAAATAATTATTAAAAAAAAATAAAAAAATAAAAAGATTTAATTCTGACTTGGGGGGATTTTGGAAATCCCACTGATATTTTGAGGCATTGTCTTGATTTCTTTAGTTTGTCAATGTTTGTCATTAGGACTTAATTGAGGATCATCATATTAATTTGATACTGTAGTTAAAAACTAGATTGCCAGGGCCGGCCCCGTGGCATAGCGGTCAAGTGCGCGTGCTCTGCTGCTGGCGGCCCAGGTTCTGATCCCGGGCACGCACAGACGCACTGCTTGTCAGGCCATGCTGTGGCGGCGTCCCATATAAAGTGGAGGAAGATGGGCATGGATGTTAGCCCAGGGCCAGTCTTCCTCAGCAAAAAGAGGAGGATTGGCATGGATATTAGATCTTCCTCACACACACAAAAATAATAAATGTTTTAAAAAAATAAAATAAATAAAAAAATAAAAAAAATAAAAACTAGATTGCCACCTAAAAGCAAAGTTTATTATTGAAGATAAGCCTAGGGATTTTAAAGGTTTTGATTTTTTTTTTTTAGTACAAATTGGAATGTTTGTATATGAATAGTGCTGAGTGGGTGGAATTGCTTTTGTATCTAGAAAGTGGTAACAAAAATGCTTATTGGTTTTTTTGTAAATGAAATCAAGTTCTCTAAATTATTTGTCATTGTGAGACTAGTAAGCATTGTACTACCAAAATACAAGGGTTCTTTATTAGGAAATCTGATTATCGAAGGGTCATGTATGTATAACACAGTAAGTTGAAATTTAGAGAAACTTTCATGAAACGTTTCCTAATTTTTTAATAAGGAAATTATTATTTAAAATTAACTTTTAATTTAACCTAATTTTAAATAACCTAATTATTTAAAATTAACTCTTTACGTTTTGAAATTGTTTAAATTTTGCTTTCCTAGACGTTATTTGTTGTTTTATGACTTAGAGAAAGAACCTTTGGAATGAAATAATATATCTGAAATTTTTCTTATGTGTTTCAGATAAGATGCCATCTGTTCATTTTGTGGTAGATAACGGTAGGGAAGTTGGGCGATAAAAGCATTTTAAAATGTTAAGGCTCTAACTTAAGCTACTAAGTGATCTACTTCTCTCCTTTTCCAAGTAATGTAATGTATTTTATTTTAATGTTTACACAAAGGAAATTAAATTATTCCCATATTGAAAGCTAAGATAAAAGACAATAGATGCTCATATCACGGTATCTTATTTTTATTCTCGATCAGTACTTAGCATTACTGCTGTGCCATTTAATTATATTGTTCTTTTTTTTGAAGACCTAATTTGTATGTTGACACAAATGCAGAATGGATGAGAAAATCTGGCATGCCTGTGAATGTTCTGTTGAGTAATGTGTGCTTTTCTTAATTGTTTTTAACACGCAGTTAGGATAATTTGTTATAAATGTGTTTATGGCTTACCACAGCGTAATAGGTAAAATTAACTCCCGACATTTTATCATGGTTATGTTGTGCATTTCCCCATCGTTTGTATTATTTAATTTGTAGATCTGATCTCTAAAAATAGATTCCAGAGACTGTTGGGCTTCTTTGGTACTTCATGGAGTAGAACGGTATTGAACGTGAAAGAGACTATCCTTGTGAGTTTTGTGGTAGCAGAGTAACCTTATAAAAGGCGACCCTGGGTATTAATGAGCTGTGCTGTCATTCAGAATTCATTCAACAAATATTCATTGAGTCCCTACTATATGTCAGGCATGGTGCTTGGTACGAAAATACAAAAGTAAGGAAGTCCCTGATCTCAAACTGCTGTTCAAGCAGAGGCTGGGTAGCCACTTGTCAGGATTTCGAATAGGGATTTCAGACATTGGCTAGAGGACTGCACTGGGTGATCTTTAAGGGAGGTTTTTTTTAGAACTCCTTGTCTGTGACTCTGTTAGTGGGATGGTGCAAGAACAGGAAATAAAATAAAGGACAGAAACTAGAGAAGAATGGATGTTTAAAAACAAATGAATGTGCTAGCAATTATTTAAGGAGGCATCTGAAGTTTAGAGACATCATACAAATAAAGATACACTGAGTTTGGATCATGAATAAAAGTAAAACTTAAATCAAGCCTGTAGAGTTTTGAAGTGAACTTGATTATCAAAATTAAGTCAGATTTCAAGTCAAGATCTTTGGCTGAAGAAGTTTAGAATTCGCTATTCTCATGGGCCGGCCCTGTGGCTTAGTGGTTAAGTACATGCGCTCCGCTACTGGCAGCCCGGGTTCGGATCCCGGGCGCGCACCAACGCACCACTTCTCCGGCCATGCTGAGTCTGCGTCCCACATACAGCAACTAGAAGTATGTGCAGCTATGACATACAGCTATCTACTGGGGCTTTGGGGGAAAAAAAAAAAAAGAAAAAAAAAAAAAAAAAAAAGAATTTGCTATTCCCAAGATTTGAGATTCCAGATCATCATAATAGGGAAAACTTTTAATATGTAAATAAATTTTAGTTAAAAAAATCTGGAACGATTTATTGGGCAGTACATCCAGAATTGTTTCAGATATAAAATTGATTTAAAGTGGAGCTTTATTTTCTAAATCATGAGTTTAACAAATAACTTCTAGAAAAGAAATTCTCATTTAATTCAAGCTGATTTTTTTTTTTTTTTAAGATTTTATTTATTTTATTTTTTCCCCCCAAAGCCCCAGTGGATAGTTGTGTGTCGTAGCTGCACATCCTTCTAGTTGCTGTATGTGGGACTCGGCCTCAGGATGAACGGAGAAGCGGTGCCTCGATGCGCACCCGGGATCTGAACCCGGGCCGCCAGCATCGCAGCGCGCGCACTTAACCACCAAGCCACAGGGCCGGCCCTTCAAGCTGATTTTATATTTCATTGATTTGTTACAGTGAGCTTATCCATGCTCATTAACACCTCTTTTATCATACAGTGTTGGGGTGAAAAATGTTCTGCCTACGTGAATTTTCTAGATAATAAAGCTGTTCTTTTCAGCACTGTGTTTTTTAAAAGTAACCTTTTTCATGAATTCTAAAATATCTTAGTTTTCAGTCTTTCTAAGTGGTATATAGTATGGTATATATGTATATGGTATACTATTTATATAGGGTATAACTATAGAACATAGTTTAACTACGTCATGTTGACTCGAGACTTTTTTTTTTGTGAGGAAGATCAGCCCTGTGCTAACATCTGCCAATCCTCCTCTTTTTTTTTTTTTTTGCTGAGGAAGACTGGCCCAGGGCTAACCTCTGTGCCCATCTTCCTCCACTTTTTTATATGGGACGCTGCCACAGCATGGCTTGCGATGCGGTGCGTTGGTGTGCGCCCGGGATCCGAACCAGCGAACCCCGGGCCGCCGCAGCGGAGCACGCACACTTAACCGCTTGTGCCACCAGGCCAGCCCCAAGACTTCTTAAATTTCAGTTACTATACTCTGTTATGATGAGGGTAGGGGTCAATTGAGATATATTAAATTATTTGCCCTGGCCTATAAAAACCCTCAGATTGTCTTGCTTTTTGAATCAGTTTTTATGTTTGCATCTTGTAATTCTCTCTCCTTAGGCTGTCAGCTGTCACCTGGCATCTATCATTTAGTATTTCTGTTGCCAGCAGTTAGTTCCTTTTCTAATTTACTGGTAGAACTAAACTGTAGGCTGAGAAACTATGTAAACAAGCGATTTGTTTATTTTATAAATAAACAATTGATTTTACCCCAGATTCTGAACTTCTTTAGAGTATTTGATCAGGATTGTGAGGTTTTAAAAAACATTCTACTCTTATATAGAGGCTAGAGGCCCTCACTGAATACTCAAGTCTTAAATCCTTTCAGAATATTATTATTTTCCCTATAAGCTTGTGGTCTTGTTAGTCTTTCAGATTCTTTTCCCAGTAATTCTTAACAAAAATGTTGATTTCCCACCAATACAAGTTACTGTATTTTTATTTTTGGCTTTTAATTGGCCTTAAGTCATCTCCTGATTGATAAAGTTGTGTAGTGTGTGCTCCAAAAGCTGTTTCCTTTCCATTTTCAGTCCATTTTGTTGGGGCAGTGGGTTTCTTGTCAGGACTCTCCTGCGTTTCTTCATCCTCATTGGTTTCCTCCATTGGTGTGAGCTCCTTAATTAAATCATGGACAGTTTATGACTTTTTTTTTTTTTGCATATTTTAATGACTTTTTAAAAAAATTTTTTGTTTATTGCAGTAACATGGGTTTATAATATTGTATAAATTTCAGGCGTACATTGTTATACTTCTATTTCTGCATAGATTATGTCATGTTTACCACCCAAATACTAATTGCAACTGGTTTATCACCACATACATGTGCCGAATTATCCCTTTGACAGTTTATGACTTGATTTTGCTTTAATCACAACTGCTTCGCGTCTGGAGATCTGTTTCTGTTCCATTTTATCTAGTTTCTCGGTTCTGAACTGGAATATTAGGACATCAGGTGAAATAGTTTTCCGAAGATTTTGGCATTTAGTGGCGGTCCCCTGAGTGTGGAGTAGTAATCAGATGAGGGTGTCATTCCCCACACACCTTGCCTAGTTGCAGAAGGGAGTGGAGCCTCTCAGAGATAGTACTGTAAGGAAAGACTGCCTTCTTAGAAGGTGACTCTTAAATAATATAACTCTTCTTTATTAGTCAGGATTTTCCAGAAGCACCCTATGGCCCTGTAAAATTGACACACAAAATTAACCGTCAGAGCTTCCCTGAATAAACTTTTTCCCTCTGCATTTTTCTACAGATAGATACACCATCAGGAATGGAATTACCATCATGGTATCCTGTTATAAAGCAAGAAGGTGACCATGTTTCTCAGACACATTCATTTTTACACCCCAGGTGAGTGGGTATTGGCTCGTTCGTTCATTATTCATTCATTCAACATCTATATGTCAGGTACTATTCTAGTTCCTGGGAATTTATTATTTAGTTTTAGGCTTTCTTGTTAATCAGTGAAATGAATTGTAAATTGTGTTGAGTATTTGAGAACCTTTTCTTGATGTTATGTTTTTTCTAGAAATAGGTCATTTCCCTTTTGCCCCAAAGTAAAAAATGAAAGTTTTCTTTTAATTTCCTTGCTTCCCATTAAGAGATAAATGAACTCTTTAAGAGTTTGGTGTGCAACTTTGATATTTTAAAAAGAAATTTTTTTTTTGAAACTTACAAGCTTTCATAGTAGCCACACCCCTCAAAATCAAGTTTTCTTATTTTCGATAAAAGTGGACCTTAGATTATAAACTTTTTATTTATTGAATCCTAGATTTTTGTCTGTTGCTGTAAATGTATATTTCCCCCATGCATAGTGATGAAGAGTCTCAGTCTTATTTACATTTACACAGTTCCACCATTCCTATTGAATTTGGAGTAAGTCTTTGGAAGGTATTAAACCTGTCAGTTTTCTTAGCAGAGTACTGAGTTTTCATCCTCAGAATTCAGGTTATTGGTAAAGAGAAACAATATAGATGTCCTGTACAAAGAAAATGAGATGTAAGAGGAGGTTATTTAGAGTTTAGGAGATGAAGTGTTTTATCAGTTAAATTGTTGCATCTTTTGGCTAAAGGTTACTTATGCAAATTATAGTTAATAATATGGTACCTAAAGATCTAGCTTAAATTTGTCCCATGAGTCTCTCAGATAATTGACTGAACAATTTTATGTGAATTTTGAGCAGAATTGGTAGTTATCCCTTCAATCTTAGTTTTGCATAATTTATTATTGCTGTTTTATCAAATAAGTAGGAAGTGCTAAAGTATTTTAGGCAGATTGCTCTGTGGGGTGTGACACAAGAAGGACTGCCCAGTAGCTGGGCAGCCTTCAGAATGCCTGTTCTCTCCCTGAGCTATGTAAGGAGGGCCCTGGGAGCTCCTCATTGGACCTATGGTAAATCAGGCCATAGCCATGAAGTGTGGGGCTGGATCAGCCTCACCATAATAAAAAGCAAGAATTTCTTGCCTTGGAGGAGTAGCGGGCAAGAAAACGGTCCTCCAAAGTAGCATATCGTCTCTTTTCTTTCTAGCATAGACTTACCTGCTCAGGGCTGTTAAACAGCTCTGGAAAGTGCTTCATGCTTTTAGTTCTCAGGTGGTTTTGAAGGAAAGAGGAGAGACGATGATTTTTCTTTCCCAGTGAGTATCATTTTAGTGTTTAGAAATTACTTTTTGCAGAATAACAAAAGTTCCTCCTGATTTTGCTCTTACTTTCTAAAGTACTGACTTTTTCAAGAATTGTTTTCTATGACTTTATTTTCTGAGTTGTTATGTTGTCTGTTTTGGTAAAAAAATTGTTTAACCATAGAAATAGATGTAACATATTTTACTTTTTACCTGAATGTAATATGTGTCTTATTTTGCCTTTCTTTGTTTTCAGTTACTGCTTATACATGTGTGATAAAGTGGTTGCTCCAAATGTGTCGCTTACTTCTGCTGTATCCCAGTCTAAAGAGGTCACAAAGATAGAGGCGAGTAGATCTGTACCAAGACAGTCAGAGAAGCCTCACAGTGGTGGGAAACATCAAAAAACAGTGTCTTATCCAGATGTCTCACTGGAGGAACAGGAGAAAATGGATTTAAAAACAAGTAGAGAATTATGTGGCCATTTAGGTAAGTATTCAGAAATTATTTTTTTTAAATCAGATATCTAATGAACACATATATTCAGCATTTTCAAAGAGGATTTCTATTTAAGAGAATTGTCCAAATAATTGAAGCTTTTATCTTAAAAAAATGCCTCCTTTCAAAGCTCTGAGGAACTATTTTGAACCTCAATTGCTGTATTTTCTAAAATGGTGATAGTTCTAGAGGCTGATGAAATGGATACATAGGCTACATGGCTTCCTACTGTAAGTGATTTTTGTCTGATTATTTTTTACCCTTCCTGCCTTTTATTTGCTGTCAGATTTCTTCAGAAGGTCCTTGTTTTTCTTTCTAATGTGCCGTGAACTGAAAACATTTAACTAATAATGCTAAGAAGTATATGTAGGAGTAGTTAGGTATAGGACTCAGGGAAACTTAGTCATGGAATAAGCAAGAATTGAAATCTCATAGCTGTGGGAGCAAGGCAAGTGGCATAAATGCAGAATGCTTGCTAGACATCTAAAAAAATTAGCTACCTAGTTATAGTGGCTTTTAAAATACCGTGGGGCAAACCAGACATGTCCACTCAAATGCTGCCTATATTACCCTCTATATAGCAGTAGAGCTTTTCTTACAGCTTAGGCAAGTGTGATAGTTATTCTACTTTCTCGCAACAGTTGAAGAGTCCTCTAGTCATTTAACTGTTTTCGTAGATATTTGAGATTCTTGGGGGATTTTCTGTACTTTAATTTTGAGATTTTAAAAACTTAGTTTTCTTGGGATTTAAATTTGTAAACAGTAAGTAGTAATGTGCCATTATGTCCTATTTGCATTATATTTTATTTCCCATATTAGTTAAGGTCTAGTGACTTGTAAAAATTGTTGTGATATAATTCATATAAAATTTACCCTTTTAAAGTGTACAATTCAGTGGTTTTTAGTAAATTCACAAAGTTGTGCGATGATTCCAACTATTTAATTTCATAAAATTTTCATCACCCCAAAAAGAAACTCTGTAATCCATTAGAAGTTACTCTTCATTCTCCCCTTTTCTCAAACTGTCAACTACTAATCTATTTTCTATCTTTATGTATTTGCCTGTTCATATCAAAGGGATCATATACTATGTGGCCTTTTGTGGTCTGGGTTCTTTCATTAAGCATAATATTTTCTCAGTCCATGTTGTAGCATGTATTAGTATTTCTTTCTTTTTTATGGTTTAGTAGTATTCTACTGTGTGGATATACTATATTTTGTTTATTCATCAGTTGATGGACATTTGGATTGTGTCCACTTTTTGACTGTTATGAATAATGCTATGAACACTTAGGCACAAGTTTTAATGTGGACATGTTTTCATTTCTCTTGAGTATATATTTAGGAGTGGAATTGCTGATTCATATGGTAACTCTATGTTTAACATCTTGAGGGACTACTAAACTGTTTTCCAAAGCAGCTGTACCATTTTCATTCCCACCAATAGCTTATGAGGGTTCCAGTTTCTGCACATCTTTGTCAACACTTGTTATTGTCTGTCTTTTGATTATGGCCATCCTAGTGGTTGTGAAGTGTTATCTTGTGGTCTCGTGGTTTTGATTTGCAATTCTCCAATGACTGATGATATTGAGTGTCTTTTCATGTTTTTATTGGACATTGCAGATCTTCTTTGGGGAAATGTCTAATTAGATCCTTTGCCCATTTTTAAATTGGGTTGTCTCTATACTATTGAGTTGTAAGAGTTCTGTATTATTCTGGATACTAGACCCTTATCAGGTATATGATTTGCCATTCTGTCAGTGTCTTTTCGCTTTCTTGTTAGTGTCCTTTGAAGCACAAAAGTTTTAAATTCTGATGAAATCCAATTTACTTATATATTTTTTTGGTTCCTTACTTAAGGTGTCAAGTCTAAGAAACCATTGCCTAATCCAAAGTCACAAAGATTTACATTTAAGAGTTTTAGCTCTGACATTTAGGTCTTTGATCTGTTTTGAGTTAATTACGGTGTGAGGTTCAAGCTCATTCTTTGTATGTGGATACAGTTGCCCCAACTGTATTTGTTGAAAAGGCAATTTTCTCCTGATTGAATTGTCTTGGCACCCTTGTCTGTTGCTCATAAAAGCAGTTGCTCATAAAAGTATGGGTTTATTTCTGGACTCAATCCTTATACCAGTACTACACACAGTCTTGATTTCTGTAGCTTTATAATAAGCTTTGAAATGGGGATTGTGAGTCCTCCAATTTTGTTATTCTTTGTCAAGATTGTTATGGCTATTTTGGATTCCTTGCATTTCTTATGAATTTTAGAATCAGCTTGTCGGGCTGGCCCGGTGGCTTAGCGGTTAAGTGCGCGCGCTCCGCTGCTGGTGGCCCGGGTTTGGATCCCGGGTGTGCACCGATGCACCACTTCTCCGGCCATTCTGAGGCCGAGTCCCACATACAGCAACTAGAAGGATGTGCAGCTATGACATACAACTATACACTGGGGCTTTGGGGGACAAATAAATGAATAAAAAAAGAATCAGCTTGTCAGTTTCTGCCACAAAGTCAGCTGGGATTTAGATAGGGATTGCATTGAAAAAGTAGATCAGTTTGGGGGAGTAGCACCGTCTATTGTAGTCCTTTTGGGCTGCTATAACAAAAATACCACAGACTGGTGGCTTAACCACAGACATTTATTTTTCACAGTTCTAGAGGCTGGAAGGTCCAAGATCAAGGTACCAGCAGATTTGGTGTCTGGCGAGGGCCTGCTTCCTGGTTCATAGATGACCATTTTCTCACTGTGTTCTCACATGGTGGAAAGGACGAGCTCTCTTGAGTCTCTTTTATAAGAGCATAAATCACATCAAGGGGGCTCCACCCTTATGGCCTAATTACTTCCCAAAGGCCCCACCTCCTAATGCCATCACATAGGATTTTAGGATTTCAACATATAAATTTTGAAAGTCACTAACATTTAGTTCATAACACCATCTTAACAGTGTTAAGTCTTCCAGTCCATGAATATGAGATGCCTTTCCATTTATTTAGGTCTTTAATTTCCTTCAGTGATGCTTTGTAGTTTTCATTGTACAAGTCTTGTACTGCTTTTGTTAAATTTATTCCTAGATATTTTATTATTTTTTATTCCATTTGTAAATGGAATTATTTTCTTAATTTCACTTATGGATTGTTCTGGTGACTTTTTAACAGTGATATTCATACTTTGTTACTTCATTTTTGCCTCTCAAAGATCCATCGGTCTCAAATAATTCTACAAGTAAAAAGAAACCTGAGTCTACCACTTGCAACTTAGTCCGAGACACAAGCAAGGCGGGAATTGACCATGATGCTCTAGCTTCATCTTCACTTCTTGTCAAAGATGTCATTTGTGAGGATGATAAGGGAAAAATCATGGAAGAAGTAATGAGAACTTATGTAAAACAACAGGAAAAACTGAACTCAATTTTGCAGAAGAAGCAACAACTTCAGATGGTAAAATTGTTATCTAAATGATAGTCCATTATGAAAAGATACTTTTGCATATTCTTAAGAAAAGTCAAGATGAGATGCTGCAGATGTATTTAAGATTGTTCAGACTTGTACACTGATAAGCAATTTTAATATACTTTTAAATTTTTAGAGAAAATAGTTTTTCAATATAATCACTTCTGTATAGAACTCATGATAGCTGAATTTTAGATATTTTCTGTCCTATTTTTTCCTGAATTGAAATTTTTAACATGATGGAAATAAAGTAAAAATTGTATTGTGATTCTTGATATTACAGGAAGTTGAAATGTTGAATAGTTCAAAAGCTATGAAGGAACTCACTGAAGAACAGCAGAATTTACAGAAAGAGCTCGAATCTTTGCAGAATGAACATGCTCAAAGAATGGAAGAATTTTATGTTGAACAGAAAGACTTAGAGAAAAAATTAGAGCAGGTAATGAAGCAAAAATGTACCTGTGACTCAAATTTAGAAAAAGACAAAGAGGCTGAATATGCAGCACAGGTAAGAATTACTCAGTTTGTTTGATGTTGCCCTTTCAACATGAAAATTGAAGCCGCCTTTATTAAATTACTTTTCGTCAAGCTCATTAGGCTATATTTCAAAATAGATAATTCTGTTAAAAGAATTTTATGCCATACCATCCAAGATGATTTTTTGACCATGATTGCTTTATTACTTTAAACTTTTATTGAGTTTCTGTAGTTTAGTTGCCCATATTGCTAATCTCTAGCTATGTGAATATCAAATGTTATATTATTTTAATGTAGCATATGGGCTTTCAAATCAACAAATTAGCAAACATGCTCTGTTGCCTACTATGTTCAAAAGCACTAGAGCAAAAATGCATGGTAGCTCACAACTTGGGGAAGGTGAACAAATAACTCTTAACAGGAGCAGGCTGTGATGAGAGGTGTACTAAAGCTTGGAGCATAAGGAAAGTGCTCTAGGTGTTCAGTTCTCTTGACCCTTGTTTTTCCCTCAATTTAATGTCATGTTAAAGTTAGGTTAATATTATTAGATATTCAAGAGATTATAGTATGTATGAAAGTAGTTCATTTTGTAAGAAGTAACTTGAAAATAGGTCTTTACCTTGATGTGAGGATTACATGGAAAAACAAAACTGAATGAAAGCTGACACAGTCTTTTAAATCACACAGTTGGCAGAACTGAGACAGAGATTGGACCATGCTGAGACTGATAGGCAAGAACTCCAAGATGAACTCAGACAGGAGCGAGAAGCAAGACAGAAGTTGGAGATGATGATAAAAGAGCTAAAGCAGCAAATTGTGAAATCATCAAAGACGGCTAAAGAATAGAAACCTTTAAAGAGATTCATCTGTGTATTCCCAACAGGGTTTATTTTTGTTTGTTTGTTTGCTTTGGTAGTTGAATTCTGAACAAGTTATCTGCATGAAGATTACTTAGCATTCTATCCATTTGTAGATCAGAGAAAGTGAAGAGATTATATATTAGTACATAAATTTTTACATTTTTCCAAATGAATGAAAATGTATGTTTCTTTGTACTTTTTTTTCCACCAGCTTAGTAACAGTACTATATGGTTTCAGCTATTAGATAATCTGCCTATATTTCTAATACAAATTTAGCAGTTGTATACTTTTTAAAAGCTGCGTTATGTGATGGAAAATAGTTGTGACCAGTTTTGTTATCCGTATCTCATACTCAATTTTAGATACAGTAGTGACTTCATATTTCAGATATATAGAGCTATTCAAGGAGTTGAATCTCCATTTTTTTCATTAACATAATCTCCTTTCTAAGTTGATATAGTATGCTCATTATTATATACAAAATTTGCTTTTATTTTGTTCATATTGTGGAATGAATTTTCACCAGTTCTCTTTAGTGTCTCCTAAAAGACGTTTTGTCAGAAGAGGAATTTCACTGACGAGGTTACAGCACACCCCATGGGCATAATGGGGAAGGATAACGTGTTTTGTTATACACTGCTGCTAAACACAAGAAGCAGTTGTAATTTGTTTTTTGGTTTAAATGTGGTTATAGTTAGAAAAATTTTTTTATGTAGCAACTTCAGAAGAGGAAATAAAATGGAATAATTTTTGAACTTTTGTTTATGTTGTTAATAGTGGTGAGAAAACATTAATGTTCTTGAGGAAAACTGATAACCATTGATGTACATCAGTTTCTATACAATCCATAATCCTCCTGTACAGTTTTTATATGTAGTTATGGGTCTTACTGAAATTTATATAATGGATTTGTTTTCCTTAGTGGATTTGTTTTCCTTTAAATTGTAAAATATTAAACACCTTGAAGGTTATTTTGGACTTTTGTATGTTTAAATGTTAAGTCTTACCAAATTTGCACGGATGGACCATTTTCAATTACTACTTAATATCAAAATCAGGTAGTTACAGTCAACTGATAGTGTATGATAGGTTAATTTAGGGAACTTTAGTTATCTGCTACTAAAAGTTTTTAGATAATTTTTAGAAGTCAAAGGAATTCCATAGTTTGGGGTAGGGGCAACATCTTCTGCACTTTTTTTTTTTTTTTTTGCACAGAAAAGTCTATCATTCTTTAATGGCAAATTTCATATTAGTTAATTCTTGGCTTAAAAGATGTTAGGTAAAATTTCCAGTGTGCATTTTTTAAAGGAAGTTTTCTGAAGCTGCCATTAATTGACATTATTATCCCATGAATTTTGTCTATGTTCTCACGTAAGGGACTGTATGAAATTAGTTGAGAGCTAAATTTATATTTAAAATAACTCAGCTACAGTTAAGGTTATAGTCCCAGCATAGATGATAGAAACTTGAATGGTATAGAACTTCAAAAATCAGTGAGTTATCTATCATTTAGCCAGTTATTTCCATATTTTGCTTAATGGTACTTACATGTCCTAAAAGAATTTTTGTACTTCACAAAGTATAGTTTCTTTGCTAGGGTGTGATCTAAATGTGTGTTTTCTATTTTTCATTTAAATGTTACTGTATTAACCCTAAAATTTAATTTGTTGATTCTTGGAATCTCCCTAAGGAGGAACAAATGTTAAAAATAACATACCCTCCTAATACCTTTTATTTAGATCCAGAGAAAGAAGAATCACAAAGACAGTTTATGATGGATACAGTTTCATTGTAGTTGTGAATTAGTTGTGTTACAGCTAAGCTTTTTGGGAGACAAACTCAAGCCACTATAATTTCACTTATTTTTCTCATTCACTCAAAATCTTTCTACTTACGTTATGCAGTGAATGATAAGCCAAGTTCAACCCAAAACTTCTAAAATAAATTGCTTAAACTTTGAAATATGTTAAGATTTTAAGCAGTTCTTAAACACCTTTAAATTATCATAAACTCTTAATTTAGAATTGAGTAAAGGAATATTTTTTCTAGTCCTTCACGTAAGGAAAACTTGCGACATGAAATTGTAGTCTTCATTTTCCAGAAGATACGTTGATGTGCCATAGATTTCTGTCTAACTTCCTTGGAAATAGTCTTTTAGTCCATTGTAAATATTATACCTATTCTAGCTGAAAGTAATTTTAAGTTAAACTGCACCACATAGCTTGAAAATATAGAGATTTTGTATACTTTAAAAGTGACCTCTGCTAAAAAAGCTTATCCATATAAACTTATTCTATTCTTTGCATGCTCATTTTGAGTGTTGGTTGCTAGCTTAAAGTTTGTTTTGGTGTTAGTTTTTGTGTGCCAATTCATTAGGCAAGGAGATTTTTCCTCAGACTTTGTAATATTATTCTTTTTAGAAAAAATATAAAAATATTTACTTTAAAAAGCTACATAAAAGGAACAGCCTATGAAAAGTGCTAGAGCATCTTTAGAAGGAAGAAAAGATAGAATGTTAGCTTACTGGGTGATGGGTGATGCTTAATTTGGGTGATGATGGTTTCTATACTCTAAACTTGGTGAGAAAAAGATACCAATCTGTCAAGGTAGTAGATGTAAAACCTCCTGTCATTGAGGAAGCTCTGAACCACCCTGATTTCACAGTTGCAACTTATAACACTGTGAAGGGATGTGACCAACAGCGTAAGTTTGGCTTGTGTTTTAGTTTTGTAAAGCATATTTTTTTGCTTGAATTTCTGTGTCCATGAGAGTTAGGATGTTTTATGCTTCTTGAACTAATTTTATAACATATTTAATATATTACCAGTTGAGATATAAAATCATTTGTACATAATTGAATTAAAAACCAGTTACTAAATAGGTGAAATAGACTGAGTACAATGATATTTACAGGTTAGCCATATGTTTTGGAAGTCATGACAGAATAATTTATTTGCACATCTATGACTTCTGTTTGAAGGCAAGTAAAATAAGGAAACTCCAGTAATAGGAAACATGCTCAAGGTATTTCCCTAAAATTAATGGTAAAGCTGGTGCTGAAGGTTTTTGATCAGCTTCTAAAATTTTCTTCTCAATGACTTATGTTTTGATTGCTTAGGGAAGAATCCACATTTTTATTTGCTCTATGCATTTAATCCTCACGACAGGACGTTAAAAATTAATATAGTGAAAAATTGTGCTCATACTGTACATCTATTTCTGTGCTTGGAACTACTTGTTAATAGTTTGTATTGGAGCTATCAGCAATAAGGGACACATTACTGCTGTATTATACATTGCGGGGTTGAATAACTTAAACAGAGCTTAAATTTTTTTCTAGTATAGGATACTTCAGCATTTCCATTATTGGAAGAAATTTGTATGGGTATTCTATATTGCATCTTGTTTAAAAGGACAGTGTTTTTTTTTTTGTAAAATCTTTCCATTTTAAATGGCTTCTAAACTACATAATGCAATTTGGAGCCTGTTTCTTTAGTAATAGAATTAAGCGTCTTATATAGTGCTACTGTTTTTAAATTACAAAGCGATCAAATGTAAAAACTGAAATTTAAAAATTAAGCCCAGAAAACAAAATAGTGTATTTAGTTGAATGTAAAAGGAATTTATAAGATTTTTTCTTCAATAGAGATACCTCACTTGAAAATAAAGCACAGCGTACTTAAAGTAGTTCTAGAAAAAAAAATCCTACAAAAAGAATTGCTAAATCTAGGACAACTTTTGGGAAATTATAGATTGGGAGAAATAAAATAGACTTGCTTTTAACCATCCTGTGAGAAGTATTTGTTTATCCTGATAATTTTAAGCCAACACAATAGTCTTAAATTATTTCTGAATTTCCAATCTGTGAAGGCAGTAAATATCTGTTCTGCAACTGTTGAAATTGTTGACTACATTGACCATAATTCAATTTAAAATTTTGCCAATGATGTACAGTTTTATGGTTAAAATTGCTGTGGTTGGTTGCATTACATGACACACAAAACTGTCCTCTACCTCACGTGAAATAAATATTTTATATGGTTTTACTATAAAACAAGACTCATCTATCTGGTCACTTAGTTTACAAATTTTGAATTATATTTATTGAAATATGACATACTGTGCTCTTAGCTTATACCTCAATTGTATTTTGTGCTGTTTTCCATTTTCATGCCTTGTAAATAACTTGTATAGATTGTGGATTAAATTCCAAATAAAAACTTTTAATGCCAATGAAATTGGTTCAAGTTTTCTTAGTATCCTGTGTGAGCTCAATTTTCTTATCCCTTAAGATTGACATTTTCTCCTTTTGTTCCTTTAAAGTCTATTATTCATTACACACTAAGTGATTAACTTGAGAAACCTTTTTAAAATTTTAAAATGTGAAATTTTATGCAGTATTTCAGTTGATGAACATACTAGCATTTTGTGATTATTCTCTTTCATGATACTTGGAATCTTGCTTCAACATCTTTGCCTTACCCTGTACCCCTACCTCTGGTATTAGTTATCACTGTGTAACAAATTACTCTAAAATTTAGCAGCTTAAAACAACAGATAACTCACACAGTATCTGCGAGTCAGAAATCCAGGAGCAGGTTAGCTGAGTGATGGCTCAGGAGCTCTTAGAAGGGTGAAGTTACAATGTTACCTGGGGGGAAGCCATCTGAAAGCTTGACAGCTGGAGGATTTACTTCTAAGCTCACTCACATGGCTATTGACAGGCGCTCAGTTCTTCACTCTATGGACCAGTCCATGGAACCTCTTCACAACATGGTGGATGGCTTCCCCCAAATGAGTGATCCAAAGGAGAGAAAGAGAGATGCCACGATTTCTTTTATGATCTAGACTTTAAGTCACATACTGTTACTTTTGCCTTATCCTATTTGGTAGAAATGAGTCACTAAGTCCAGCCCATACTTAATTGGAGGGAATTACACAAGGGTATGAATACCACGAGGCAGGGATCATTGAGGGCCATCTTAGAGTCTGTTTATGACATCCTCCAAATTTTTATTTTTTTGTGGCAAAATATGCATAACAAAATTTACCATTTTAACCATATTTAAGTGTATAATTCAGTGGCATAAATACATTTACAATGTTGTGTAACTATCACCACTATATCCAGAACTTTTTCATTATCCCAAACAGAAACTCTCTACCTATTAAACAATAACTCCCTATTCCCCCCCTCCCCAGCCCTTGATATCCTCTATTCTACTTTGTCTCTGTGAATTTGCTATTCTAGTTACCTTGTATAAGTGTAATCATAAGATGTTTGGTTTTTTGTGTCTGACTTCTTTCACTTAGCATAATGTTTTCAATGTACATCCGTGTTGTAGCATGTATCAGAATTTCATTCCTTTTTATGGCTGAATAATATTCCATTGTGCATATATACCAAATACTGTTGATCTGTTCATCTGTTGATGGACATTTGGGTTGCTTCCACATTTTAGTTACTGTGAATAATTCTGCTATAAATATTGGTTTACAAGTATCTATTTAAGTTCCTGTTTTATTTTTTCCACCCAGAAATGGAATTGCTGGATCATATGGTAATTCTATATTTAACTTTTTGAGAAACTACCAAACTTTTTCACAGCAGCTGCATCATTTTACATTTCCACCAGGAATACATAAGGGTTCCAATTTTAAATATCCTCACCAACACTTATTTTCTATTTTATTGATAATAGCCATCCTAATGGATGTGAAGTGTTATTTCATTGTGATTTGATTTGCATTTCTCCAGTGACTAATGATGTTGAGCGTCTTTTCATGTGCTTATTGGCCATTTGTATGTCTTTGGAGAAATATCTATTCACGTGCTTTGCCCATTTTATTTTATTTTTTAATTTTTTGTTTATTGCAGTAACATTGGTTTATAACATTGTATAAATTTCTGGTGTACATCATTATACTTCTATTTCTGCATAGATTACATCATGTTCACCACCCAAATACTAATTACAACCCATCACCACACACAAGTGACGAATTACCCCTTTCACCATCCTCCCTCCCCCCTTCCTCTCTGGTAACCACCAATCCAATCTCTGTCTCTATGTGTTTGTTTATTGTTGTTGTTATCTACTACTTAATGAGGGAAATCATAAGGTATTTGACCTTCTCCCTCTGACTTATTTCACTTTGCATAATACCCTCAATGTCCATCCATGTTGTCACAAATGGCTGGATTTCATCGTTTCTTATGGCTGAGCAGTATTCCACTGTGTATATATATCACATCTTCTTTATCCATTCGTCCCTTGATGGGCACTTAGGTTGCTTCCAAGTCTTGGCTATTGTGAATAACGCTGCAATGAACACAGGGGTGTGTGTATCTTTACGCATTGGTGTTTTCAAGTTCTTTGGATAAATACCCAGCAGTGGGTAGCTGGATCATATGGTAGTTCTATCCTTGATTTTTTGAGGAATCTCCATACTGTTTTCCATAGTGGCTGCACCAGTTTGCACTCCCACCAGCAGTGTATGAGAGTTCCCTTCTCTCCACATCCTCTCCAACACATGTTGTTTCCTGCCTTGTTAATTAGCCATTCTGACGGGCGTCAGGTGATATCTCATTGTAGTTTTGATTTGCATTTCCCTGATAGTTAATGATTTTGAACATCTTTTCATGTGTCTGTTGGCCATCTGTATATCTTCTTTGGAGAAATGTCTGTTCAGGTCTTTTGCCCATTTTTTAATTGGGTTGTTAGTTTTTTTGTTGTTGAGATGCATGAGTTCTTTATATATTTTGGAGATTAAGCCCTTATCAGATGTATGGTTTGCAAGTATCTTCTCCCAATTGTTAGGTTGT